TTCCGTAGCAAAATCACTAAATTCGATTCTTAGGAGTTCCATTTGCCCGCAAACATGCAAAGTGATCGCGAGAAACAGTGAATCATTGCCTTTATAAATAAATATATAAATCTTGTATAAAAGCGATTTATATTAATAGCTTTAACAATAATACAAGAATTTAATTTAAGACGTACTGTAAATACATATAAAAATATAATGTTATTGCAATTGTGTTAAAGAATTCATAATATAGAATATTTACAATACGCATTAAAATTCAACTTTTGTTAAAATCAATAAAATTTTAATTTAATAAAAATATTTTATAATAAATAATATAATTTAATTTAATTGTACACAAGAGTTAAATTTTTATGTAACTGACGATTAAAGAAGCTAAAATAAAAATAAAATTATAAAGTTTAGGACAAAAATATTTTTAATACAAAATTCTGTTATTAAAAAACAAAACATTTAACATAAATTAATATTTTGCATGCAAATTATGTTGATATCATGATAATATTTCAATCTTATTACCGAGATTGGAAAAGAAAGTGGCTCCTATCAAAAAACTCTGCACTATAAAAATCACCAAGTACAAAGTCGTTGAGAAATGAAAGCGCGCTAATATGCATGTTGAGGGAATGGGATATCCCAATACGTCGTCATTGATAGATACGTTAACTTGAGCATCTTTATTACTTGGTATTATAGGCGCCGTCACCAAACCAAGGCTAACAAAAATGCCAAATAACACAACACTGTAGAAAAATATTCTTCCCATGAAAGCGTGCCGTCGCATGATCGTGCGTTTCGCTTCAGTGTCGATCGCAAGATAATCGCTGACGGCAGAAGAATAATTACAAATCAGATTATCGGCGTAAATGCGGAACATCGATAGTTTTACTAAACCAAGAATGGCACAAACGATAATCATAACTGAGTCAAGTATTTCGTACATATCACTGCAACCGTAATAAATGTCGAGGTATGACATAATGAGCTCCACACTCTATAAAAATAAGAAAAATAAATTGTTTATTATAAAAATAGATTGTTGTAACCGTTAACCTTCTAAGAACTGTACACGTATATTATTTTGATTGAATTGTTACACTGATGATGGGCAAATGTTTAGTGGCCGAAACGTTTGTAATTTTCTCGTTTAAAGAATGTGTTGAGCAATAAAGACCCAGCTTGGATTTGACGTAATTTTTTGTTATGTTTTTAAGAATTGTAAATTTTATTTTATTTCTATTTTTTTATTGTTTTCACTGAATTTATATAATATTAAACATTCAACTTTTTATACTTAACATCTCAGAAACACAAAATCTTCTGGCCGTATGAGGTAAAAATTGAAAACGTACCATGCTGCAGATGGATATGATATAACGCGCTAAAGCGAATTTATTGTATTCTTGCAAGGGCCAACCGCCTACAGGTGCAGTTAATAATTTGACAGGAGTCATAGCATATGCCACATCCTCATTCCATAACATTATAGCCAAGGGGATGTTATACGCTATACACAAATGTCGGCCTTTGTCCATAATACGAGTCGATCATCGACAATATGTTCGCTTTTACGTTCATATTTTATTTAAGTTGTATAGTTACTAACAGGTTTTGTGTTCGAATGTATGATTGAAAATTGATGTATGTTTGAAAATTGATGCAAATATTTTTTTTATACAAAGTAAAGAAGAGTGAAAGTGAAATGGAAAAAAAATGATAGTTTTATTTTCATTCCAATGCGTTGTGTTCGGTTACTTTATCTGATAGACGTTAGTATCTGAAGACAGACGCTATAATAATGCTTTTATTCGGGAACTACTTTTTTTATCAAGAATATGTGCAATTCATTTTGGACTTAAATATATTAGGTTCCAAGATAATACGAGCACGTATACATATGTTTTATATATTGTACATTCAGTATAAGTAAATAACATTGCAGTTAGAAGAATAAGACTTCATACGGGAGATATTGTGGAATTTATTTCAATCTTATTTTTGACAATACTAGAACAATACAGGCGCGCGCTACGCGCGCGCACTTATTATGGTAATTTAATAATTATGAAATCTAAATATTTTAATAAATGTTTTTTATTTTAAATAACCGTCAAAATAACCTTTGCTCTCAATCTATCAAACTATCAGAATAATCGCGATAACCAATCAGCGTCGCGGAAAAGCATCAACAATACTTTCGATACATTCGAATATCGATCTTTCATGCCTTTTTTAAGAGTGGATCGAGTGATTCTTATGAGGTGAATATGAGGTATAGGCTTATTAATTATTAAATTATTAAATATGATTATATCATTATTATAATTATTAAATATTACGTCAGAAAATGTGTAAAATACAAATAATTTTGATAAAGTTTATATATTTTTATTTAACATAGCATATTGATATATAGTATGTAATACATAATAAGGCTAAACAAAATACAGATTATTGGATTTTATTCTATCATCGTGTTGCAATGTTTTTGGCATGTACCATCTCAATGCTTCACATTATTAAATAACTTGAGTCTTGAATTTCTTTTTTTGATGATAATACATTATAATGCGAGATAATATCTGAAATATTACAAAAATATTACCAAAAACAATATTAAAAAAAGAAACATAAAGAAAACATACTTTACTACAATTACATAAAGTTGTATTTTTAAATTTCTTTTTCCAGGTATGAATAAAATCTAATAATCCTTTGTTTACTTTGTTTACTTATTGCGTACTTTGTTTAATTGTTGTTTTTTTTCTATTTATAAAATATTAATATAAATGTTTATGCTATTATTATATATTATGCTATATATCGAATGTTATGTTAAATAAAAATATATAAATTTTATTGAAATTATTTGTATTACATTTTATGGCGTAATTAATAAACCTCATAATCACCCGATAAGGATCCTGATTAAATAAAAGTAAGGTTGTAATAGGGTAGCTCGGGTCCCGAGTGGAAATATTAATAAGACTCCGATAAGAAACTGATCAGGCAAAAGTGATCGGGTCCTGATTAGTACACCTGATAGGGACCTTAGATGTTTGTAAACGAAATGTCCTTATCGGGAACCGATGGGGTTACACTATTAAAACCTTATTTTTATTTAACTAGAACAATACAGGCGTGTGCTACGCGCGTGCACTTATTATAGTAATTTAATAATTATAAAATCTAAATATTTAAAAAAATTTTTTTTATTTTAAATAACCGTCAAAATAACCTTCGCTCTAAAAGTATCAAATTGTCAGAATAATCGCGATAACCAATCAGCGCTAGAGAAAAATCGCAAATTCGTTGAAAAATTTTTCCTTAAAATTTTAAAATCGAACGATTATTGGGCATTGTGTATACTTAATTGTCTGTTGGAATCAGTAATTAAAAAACCTGCATTTTTTGTAAATCTGAATAAAATATGCATGTCATCAATATTTCATGAAGAACATTGACATTTTCAACTGCATTGTGATTTTTTCGCTATATGTGGATTTGTACAAACGTACCTATACGTTTTGCAAAATTTAATACTGGCTTTTCCATAGTGTAAATATTAACTTACCTGCGATATCAATACGCCCATCATCCTACTTTGACAATTGTAACGTAATGCAATGGACTCTTCCGGAAAGGATTTTCCGATTTCATGCGCAAATATACGCACACAATGCTACTATTCCTGCAGTAACTTGATGTAACTAAAAGTGTGTTGCAATCGGATTAATTTTTTATTGTAAAATGTTTACACTAGAGTTGTGACGTTTTCGTTTAACTCTCTTTAGGAACACATATAATTTTAATACTCTAATACTCTTTGATGTTACATTTCAATGGCTTTTTCCTCTTATTTTTTCTAAAAAAAAGATACGCATGTGTTTGAACACATTATAAAATAATATAAAATACTATGAATTAGTAATGTTTATTAATAGATACACTAATATTTATTACTTTGCTTAATTTTAGTAAATAAATAAATAACTCATAAATGGAATGTAAAATTATTAAATGGAAGCTTTTATATTAACAACGCTAAAATATTAATGCTGTGTGATTTATAATTTTATCATTAAAATTAAAAACACTAGGAAAAAGGTAACATCATTAAATAATTTAGTGATTCAGTAAATTTAACGAACGCAATAATAATTATAATTTCAATAATAAACAATTTAATTAAAACTTGTACTAACAATTTTTATTCCTCGTGCTGTATAAAAGAAATTTTGAATTTACACATACATATTTGTTAATATGCATGAGTTGACGAATGCGTGAAATTTACGTGCGGCTTAACAAATATTTCGCGCGCCTATGATTGCAGAAACTCATTAGCGTGCTGACTGGTTCGCGTGTTCTACTTGCGAGTGCAGCCGTATACGCGTATCACGGTTGCTTATCTTAAATTGTTTATCATTCAGGAACTATTAATGACTCTCGCGGGATAAAAGCACATAATAAAAATAGATAGTAAACTTAAGCAATTGAGAACAAAAGCCATTCCAAATTTAAAATTGTAATTAATCGATTTGTTTGCTGCTTTTACAATCTCTTTTATGCAGCATGGTTTTTAATGCAAATCTTTACAGTTTTCCCGAGAGTAAAACTTGAGCAAAACAGCGAACTAAATCATAAGAAAACTCACGACAACTCGCGTATGAATATCGAATGCCGTTGCTCACTTTTACGATTTAAAGCGAACATTTCGAAAGACGCAATATATCTATCGCTCTTAACCCAGTCCTTCGATAAACGGTAATGTTTTACTATCCTCGAGCAACGACCCTCATGAGCGCGTGAAATACGGTCGCCTGAAAGTTTCCGCATGGTCGAGGGGTTCCGCAGGTCCGTTGAGTTTTAAAGAGGCGACGGCAAGGAAGTAATAAAAATTACAGCGACGGCTTAGCCTGCAAGTTTGTATATACGGGTGAATTACAAAATGGCGCCTTTCGAATAGAATAAATGACCCATTAAAAAAGTTTGATAATTTGGTTCAGGCTTTCGGTTAAAACACTTTCAGCATAATGTGCTCGAGTGTAAAAAAAACATTCGGATGAATTTAATCAGCTGAAATGTTTAAAAATCTCTATTACTTATTATCGTCAGTTTTATTTTACAGTTCCGCAGTATTGTTTCTTTTATCTTTTAAATAATAAAAATGTTTTCCTTTGTTTACCTGACAATGTCCAAATATAGATTTACGCTATGGCAGTTTATATGTATTTTATTGCTACATATGTAGAACAGTAAAAATGTGCATGACTATAAATTGTGAATAGGTATGCCTTGTATTTTACACATTACATTCTCACGCAGGATAGTTTTTTATCGAGCAGTTTCAAAAAATGCAGCAATCGAATATAAAGACAGACTAATTTTTGTGTAGTTGCTGTAAATATAAATAGCGAATTTATTATTAAAAAAATAAAAATAAAATCAGGAAGACATAATTTAATGTTGGAAATGATATGTTTCACATAACTGCTTATTTCTTCAATAAAAATACAATGTTAATGGAGGTAATTTTTTAAATATTATAATTACGACGAATTATATTTTCTGTAAAAATTCTGAATAAAAAAAAAACTATTCAATTTGGAAATTTGAGTGATTTATAAGACACATTAAATTCAGTTGTCTTCGAAATTATTATTCTGCAAGTTAATTATTCAAATAAGGTAACATTCTTGATTAATGTGACGTGATGAAAGCAAGCGCTCTTTATTAAGCGCGACTATGACAGAAAAGGCAGAAACTAATCTCGTTCTTCTAGCTCGGCGATTATTGCCTTGCCGGCTCACCGCGAGGAGAGCAACAATTCGCATCCATAAGGCGCGAAGTAAACTTTGCACGAGCGTTGAAATGCAGATGGCTTTTTCGCGCGGCACGCCGCTTGGAAGGTACACTCGGCTTTTTTCCCTTCGTTTGTTCTTTATTCTCCAGTCTTGAAGTCTCACGAAGTTCTGTACGCCCCGTCCCTCTCGCCTCGCCCCGATTTGTCTCTCCGGTGAAAGCCAAAAGAGCTAGCGGAAAACGAGTTCCTTTGAAATTATATTCTTCGTGCTGTAATTCATTCATCTGTGCGTAAAGGGCAACCTCTGCAATTGGCCGCCTCCATTGCAAGCAATTTTCTCTCGGAGAATCTCGGTACGGGCTCCGATTCTCTCTTGCATCTGCATTTAAGACGCAGCGTCGCAAGCGCAATTCCTCTTTCGCTGTTCTTTTGCTTCTCTTTCTAATGCATATGACGGGCAGAGATTCCTTGCAAAATTATCTCAGAATCTTATACTATTGAGTGTTCGATACAATTTCAATAAGAAAGAAGAAATGCTTGAAGGAAAAAAAAAAACGGTTAAATGGTAAATCATTTAACGTATTTCTCTTAATGTTGAAGTAATTTTAATTTCACTTAAAAAGAACAATCTATTTAATAAATATTTTATAATCTTATATATTCGCGATATTTCACGCGCTCATGAGGGTCGTTGCTCGAGGATAGTGAAACATTACCGTTTATCGAAGGACTGGATTAAAAGCTACGGTAGATATATTACGTCTCTCGAAATGTTCGCTTTAAATCGTAACACATTAATAACTAAATACGTTACAATAGTCTTATGCAGGAAAGTCACTCGAATTCTGTGTCAACGAAAGAGAAAAGTGTGGAGTACGCGTTTTACCAGTCTTCATGATAGCAGTAGGAGGGCGAAAAACTGGAAGAACATCGGTCCTATATAAGATGATCTGATGATCTTGGTCACTTATTCTGTTACTCGCTACGGTCAATATTTAATCGCTGCTAGAATCCGTAAGTCCGAAAACGTGAAAAACGATAATTATAACAAGTGATCATCCATGTGTAAAATGCGAATCTTGGTAAGTTTTCCGTAACAACTATTATCACACGATTGCATTTCTAAACACGAGTGCGTTCTTTTTTTTTCTCAGGTAATCGTCATCGCGATAACAGTGACAATCGTCGGAGCATACGAAAGCCAAAGAGCCAATGTTCTCTTTAATACAAATGTCATATCATATCGCAAGCCTCATCCACGAAATGTCTTTCTCAATCAACCGTTCACCGACAAAACGAGCGGTCAGCGAAATCCTCGCGATTTGTCCTTCGGAGACCAAATCAATTATTCATCCGACTTTCCAATTCTGCGTCATGAACCGTTTAAACAAAATTCCTTTAGAAACGAACGGTTGTTCGGAGACGCAATGACGAAGAATCGGGAATTGCGTGGTCAACGAGCGATCCTTCGAGACAATCCTTTCGAAAGCGCGTCATTCGCGTCGGAGATCTTTGAGGGACAAGCATCGACGTACGGAGACCAAGCGCGGCTTAAGGAACAGCTGTTTACGGCAGAAGCGCCGTTTAAGAATTTCCTTCACGCGCAATCGCTCTCAGACGAACAAGCGTCGTTTCAGAAACAGACGGCTTTCGAAACGCCGTTTGCCTCAAACGCAGCGAAATTTTATCAAGATGATTCTTACGATAAACCGATCGATTCGTACGGACACAAGGATACGCGAACTCTGCCCGGAGAATCTTTGTACACGGAATACGGTAGGTTTAATTTGCGTGCGCAATTCTGAGAGAGAGCAAAGATGGAAAAAACCTTGGATTAATATTGTATTTCGTCAACGACTCTGATGACGGATACAATTCAATCTCTACCTTTTCGAAATTTCCAAATTTAACTTCGCAAATTGTTTCGCGAGCAATTCGATATTGAATTTCCTGTTAAAACACGAAACAGTCTGTTTACACGGAGTTTGTTAACGGAAGTATTAACTCTGGAACGACCGAGAAGACAAACTTGTTTCGTCGACGCTTCAACTTGATAATTAGCACATTAATTATTGTAAAATACTTTCCAGTTATCAAATTATACATCACGCATCTAGTGATAGGATTTAGTTATAATACTATTATCGTGCCAAAGAATACTGACGACAAGTTATATCTAAAGAACAAATTCATCCCCTTCGGCTGTTCTAAAATAATACTGATGCGTTAATGCTGCTTTACCGGCAGAGACAGAAAAACTTTCTTTATTGTTTACTGCAACGCAACGCTGGTAATAATATTTTATGTCGCAGGCAATCACGCGGTTGGATTGTCTTCGATACCAGTGCTTTCGTCTTCCAAGCAGCTTTTCTCATTAAATGCCGAGATGTTCACGACACCATCGACGCCCACCCACGGTTCTTCTAGTAACGGCGAAGCTCGCTTGTCGGAAAGCTGGAAGATGAAATTCGGTTCGGCATTGGGAACGATTACATCAACATCGGCCAGCAACTGTAATGCGGTAAGCGAAACCGATGACAGCTGATATTTCGGTTTTTTAAAGTAGGATATTACATTGATCAAAATTTAATCCTGCCTGTTGAATTTGATACCCGTGAGGTAAAACGTATTTCGCGAAAATTTTGACGTATCCATTTCACAACGTGAGTAATTACAATCGCAAATGAAAACCGTCACGGATCTGTCAGTCTCTTATCAAGTTTTACGCTTCATATATTTATTTATAATAATTTAAGCTAAACAATCCTAACAAATCCGGGAAATATAATATTTTACGTAACGTCATAGAATTTCAGAATTTATTCACACTTACATTATCGTGTTATAATGTTAATTAGTATTAAATCTGCATTATTTCAGTGTTAAATAAAACTTAAGACTCGCGAGTGTTTTTTTTTTTTCCATATAGTTTTACATTAACGATGACACGCGACTGTAACATACAGCTGGACGACAAAGACGGGAAGTATAAAATAAAAAGAAGCGAACGTACTGAGGAAACCTATTTGACGCGAATCGCTAACGGACTAATAAAAGTTTGTTATTGCTTTTAGCTGGTTGACAGCTCGCCGACCATGTCCAGCGGCGCAGTAACAACCATTCCATCAATCTCAGTTAGCACAAACCAATCCGCGATTGTAGGTCATATCTTAACGAGTTTAACAACCAAGCCCAACTCGCCTGTCACAGTTATACCAACATCAATAGCGCCGTTCGACGGAAAGTACGTAATGGCTGCCCCGAGCTTTATTACTTGTTCGTTTGATAACAATATCGTAACTGCATAGTGAAATTCGTGAAGTGACTTAATAGCCAAACAAGACCGTCACTCGAGTATTTTGTTACGCTCCATTTCAAACTATTGTTTAAATGCCACTGATGATTATTGCGCTTAATACAATACTCAAGCTTGACATTTGTTATTGTTTTCATTCTTTTTTAAAAATTACTTTCATGATTATAGAATCTGCGATGCGAAATTTAACAAGTGCATCTACTAAGAATATTAAAGATAAAAAATGTACTGTCGTATTATATAATTTATAAAGCAATGTTCTGATTATTTCATATAATTGAATTGAATCAAGTTTATTCGATTTAGCTCTCCGAGACCAGTTCATTTCCATGCCACTAAATATGGAGCTGTCATAGCATCTCTTCCCACCGAGGATGAATTAAAGAACAACGTTCATGGCAGCCTGTTTGCAAATACACCGAAAAGTAGTTTCAGGACTAACGAGCATAACATTAAGCTCCTAGTACCGGAAGAGCCGAAGAACAACATGAAGACTAATATCCAAAGTCCCACGTTGAATTACATTTTGTCCGAGAAGTACAAGGATGGGCTAAAGGGCATTCAAAACTCCTTTGCGAACTATCCGTCGCCTGCGGGACTTAAACACGACTGGTCTTTACAGCAATTCTCGCAACCAGAAACATCATCCAACTATGCGCCGCTGTCTCTCGGAACGACGAAGCTCATCCTACCAAGTCTGCCTCTCGCACACGTTTCAACCATTTCTTGGCCGATGGACGTCAAAAGTGACGTTTCCGCTTTACCAGCGAAATCTGTAATTTCATCTGATACGGCGACGAGCGATAATCTGGCGCTAGGTATGATTATTATTACAATTTATCGTGTCTCAATGGATAAAGCAGTTACAATTCACTTATCAATGTGTCTAATTAAATATTTTTTCCTGTTTTGAATATCTTCCTATTGTAATTTACCAGGTGTAAATTTACCTTTGGGTTTCGTGGCGAGCGTGCCAAACAGTCCGACGTCAAGTATATCCAATAGTATATTTGGTAGTATAACCGATGGAATATCAACGGGCATACCTGATAGCATGACGGCAAACATGCCTATGAGTATACCAACTTTGAGCCTCGAGCAAACTTTACATCGCGCGGAACAATTACGACAAACTCAGGAGGCAAGAAATCTCTGGTACCCCACAGGTATCTTAGCTAAGTTTAGTTTTACATCTTTGGTTTCGACGTAATGCGACACAAGATTCTTTAGAGATGGAGAAATGCGGAAACGCTTCGGCGTTTCGCGAAACAGCGGGAAAATCTAACGTGTTTTAATTTTGGCAATTTGCAAAATTCTTCAAGCCTAAAATTTAACGATGCCAGCGCGATGCAATTAATATGTACAATTGATGCAAAATTCGACAGCAGCATCTTGCGCCTTTTATTAATTCAAATTTATAAACTACTTCTACGGAGTTTTATCTGTTTGAGACCGATTGGAGAATTATTTCGAATATTATCCAATATTTAACTTCACTTTGTTTTTCTTCGTGCCGTTGCAAATCTCAATATGCTAATTAAGGATCTGTTTGCTTAATAACTCTTTCTCGCGTATAATTGCGCAAATATAACGCAATTAACGTACTTTGCAGGTTTGCAGCTGCAGTTGGGTGGTTTCGGCGGGATAAATTACACATTACATAGTAATCCCACCGCGAAGCCGATGGAGCTCGGAAACGCGGAAGCAGGCTTAACCCCGCCGAAATTACTACAAGCACACGCACAAGCTCCTGCATTTGCAAAAGTGAGTTCTCAAGGCATGATTGCGAATCTTGCGACACCGACACCCATGTCGCTCGAAAGCTTCCTTAATAACGACACGTAGTATTACTTTGGTCGCTTTTATTAGCTTCGTGCTCCTGCCGGTTACGAGCATCTCTTCATTTCCACTCTTCCTTCTTATCTTCTGTGTCTTTATGACCACCTTTGCACGTATCACATTTCTTCCTATTTTATGACTTTGCTTTCGTTAGGTTTCATTTTGCACCTATCGTGCCGTATTGGGTTATCTTGCATTATATTTATATGAATAAATATAAAACGCAGTTCGCCGAAAAGACATATTTTGCACGGTACGAGATGAAGCACAGCTTCATATTTTGGAGATCAAGCAGAGTGCGGGTATTAACGAAAGGGGATTATCGCGTCGCTGCGAAGTTCATAAGTTTAGTGTATTTATATTTCTCTACTTCGCTGTGCAGCTAGTAACTGCTGGTAAATTTATTATTCCTATCGATAGATTGAATAATTCCATTCTACGAGCTAAACATAAATTTTGTTTACGTATAAATAAGTATTCTTTATTGTGAAATAAGGTCTATATATATTTTATACTTCATTGTTTTATATGATACTTGACATAATTGTGCGCCATGATAAGAGCACTATACATAAGTATTCACGGGCTGCTAAATGCAGAAAATTTTTTTGTCGCATGCTAATTTTTTCCGAGCGTTTTAAAAATCTAACGCATGCACGACCGTGAATAAACGTGCAACGCGTAAGTTGTTACGTAATTATTACTACTGCGATCAGCAGTAGTAGATCGAGCGCAATTTTATATAAAACTATATTCATCCAATTCATTTTTTGTTTAAAATATTTTTTATTTCTGATTTCATTAAACTTCTCAAGACATTAAAAGCAGAAGATGCAGCGGACGTAATCGCGATTAGTGCCATAACTTAGAAATCCATTACTAATCGAAGTGGAAATTTTGATATTCTGCTCCATATACATAAATTCCTAATTACCATTTGGAAGTACGTCTGTTCGCTTCGGTAAATGCCATCGAACGTTGGAAGTTCGTTGGCAAAAGCTTATGAATATGGAACGCGTATTCGCGAGATATTAATTAGTAAACCAATTTTGTTAATCATACACGTTGGTGTGCCTGACAATTCTGTTAGTCCATCCCGCATACGTAAACTCCGGTCAAAAGGGTAACGCGAAGCCAATTTATTGCTCTGTTACATTAGAATGGGTTTTATCTCGCATAAATTCCGTGCGCGATATTGAATTAATATATAAATTAGTTGTTCGATATGAAAGCTGACGATTTTTTTCCCTCATTAATATATTCATTCGCGTCGATCACATCGTTGCTTTATCAAACGAAAGTAATGGGAACTTTAAATATAATATCGGGTTTAGCAAATATCGTATTGTAATAATTTATTGTCGAGCAGTTTAATTATCCATGAAATTGTCCACAAAAAGTGAATTACTGCGACGTTAAATAAAATAATTGTAAAAATTCAACAGAGTTCATACAAAAAGCAGAGAAATTAAATTTTACAACTATGGCTCACCAGCAGGTCACGGCAGAAAATAAATATTTAAACAATGTTGCACACTTTCGTATGCTTTTGCGAAAAGACGGTCGCGCTATATTTCTTTAAGCAGCGAAACTGTTGAAATATATGTTCTCCAAGAATGAAAGTTTGCGTAAGACTGCAAATAAAACGTCTCGCGTACTTTTCGTTCGGGCACAATATGCTGCTCGTAAATCCTTCAAAAATTTACCACGGGACAGGGCTGTTGCTATTTCGCATGCCGAGTGCCGCAGGTGCTGATTTCCCTTTTCGCGCGGTTATAAGGCGAAAGAGACGAAGGTAGGCAGAGAGAAATGAGACGTCTCATCCGCAGTCGTCTGAGTTTCTTATTTACATTAATTACACCCGGAGAAGTTTCTCTCTATCTCGGCCGAGGGGAGAGAAGAAAGAGCGCACCGCGCGGTCGTTGTTTTGCAGCGGTTGCAATTATTTTCGCAGCATAAACATGATTAATATTGTGACAGATTAAAGATGAAACAAGACCCGACATCCGAGACAGGATAAATTGTTCTCATTGAAATATCGAGCGATACATTCGCGCGCTCTATCTATTTGTCTTTATAAAGTGTCCTGAGAGAAAGAAAGTGCTCGAGGAGAATTAATTAAATTAATTCCAATTGCTTGAAACAGCATACACACGTATCCTATTGATGAATACGTTCCAATTCACATGTTTGAAATGCACATTTGTGGATCACGTATAAATTGAGTTACGTTACATTGGAATGCAATTCTATCCAAATTCTATCTAGATTCTATTAAATTTGATTGAGGCTTAATTAAATTTAATTGCTGAAAGTTATTTATATACGAGCTTAATGAAATTCCACGTAGAATTCTCTGAAGAACCAAAATAAAATTTGTATATAGTACACAGCGCTGTGGTAAATACGTGAGAATGATAAAATGCATGCATAAGGAATTCACTCGGGCATTTTCGTATTTGTTTCGCATTCTTTTGTCATCATGCAAAAATTCACAACATTTCTAGTACTTGCTATATCTTTTTGCTCTATCGTATATCATATTTCTGTTATATTTTTAGATAACTGAAATTTTTACTGTCATTAATATTTAAAATAATTTAGTTGCGTTGCATTGAGAATGCAATTCTAATCAAATTCTACCTAGATTCTATCTAGATTCTATTAAATTTGATTGAGATATCATCATTGAGATCGCATTATATGAATTATAATGTTTTAACCTTCTAATGATTCGTACATAAAACATTATTATTTCAGATCGGACTTGGATATCATTTATAATAGATATCTGTGATTACCGTCTTGCATTGAGATGAATCTATGAATATACGAAATGTTACGTAAGTAGTTCAAAAGATTACAATAATTAAAAAAGCTATCAAAAGTATTTTAAGGTGACACATGTTTGTAATAATAGTCAACGCATAAGAATATGTAATTAGTTTTAAATATTATTTAAGTTTAACATTTTTTTTTTTTTTTAATGTTTATAATTTCTTCTATTACTCATAATATATTTTAAATATTTTAATAAAAAATCTTGTACGAGTTTTGCAAAGCATTGTATTACTTAATTCATTTTTTCAACGGACAATATTGTACAGGAAAATATATATAAAAATTTATATCTTTATTTTTCGTAATGTCACATAATGTATATTTCTTTCATTATAAAATACTTTTATGCTGTTACAAAGCTGAATATGAAATAATGATTTTTCAAAGCTTATCGAGAGAAAAATATTAAATGCGTGAAAATTAAATTGCTTCAAACGCAAAGTTTATTTAGTATAAAGGAATTATTTTAAATCTGTTTTCTGGGACATATCTCTGCTCCCAATTTTCATACTCCGTTTTATCTTACTATTTATGTATCTATTTCCGTTCACTTCCTTTTTTCTTTTATTCGTCACATAGCCAAGAGCTTGGATGGTCACACAGGTATAAACGGTCAAAGTCGCGAAATACCTTTTATTCTTCTAACGCCCGTAAAAGTTGGCACCGAACGATTTTGCCGCAGATTGAATTTCGCTGGCGGCCGTAGTAGTTGGCCGCAACCATCACTGCAGATTGCATTGAACCGAACCAATGTAGTCACACGTGTGCAGTGGACTGCAGTTGCAATGTTTTGGAAAAAAATTGTCGCATCTTTGTGGCGGAAATTATCTAGTTGGAATAAAGAACGAAGAACTTGCATAAAAATATGGAGAAAATTACGAATATATCTTTAGCAATACATTCACAGTTGCATAATAAATTTATTTAAATATACGTTATTATTAAATTCTATGCCATTGATTTATAAACAATTTAATTAAAAATAAAATATTAATTATGTTATTATATATACAATAAATGTTTAATAAGAGAAACTTTTGAATAAATAACATCTTATTATGTATATTACGCATTGCGTATTTTATATTATTTATATTGAGTTTTTATCACAGAAAAATTGTTAAGTTTCATTAATTATATAGTCCTGTTTTATTTTTGATACAGATAATCACGTTCACATTATTTCGCTATTTCAATAGCTATTATGCAAGATAATTGTGCGTGCTGCATTGTTGCTGCTCTACGATTCGCCACTTTAGCCGGTAGATTTATCTGTCACTTTCATTTACTTTTTGCAGAGGACTGACTGACTGGGAGTTGTCGTAAGTATTTCACACTTAATTACAGCCTGGCGAGAATAATATAGGTTTATCTCGTTTTCCTTCCTACTAGAATTTCCCCGTGCGCGCGCGCGCGCAACAGAGTGAATAATCTACCGTCGGCTTACGTTAGATTACTTCATTCATGCATTTCATGGAGATAGCATGAGCGATTTAATTGCAAATTGGATCAACCGTGCTTTCGTGTTTTTCATTATTTTACTCGTAATTGAAAACTCTTGCGATTACTAAGTCCCTTTATCGGGCGTTTCCAGCGCAGAAACGCAAGCTCATATTAGCACACGTGCTTTGCCAAAACTAATTAGCAATATTATTTTACGCGGTATTCATTAATATAAGCGGGATACATTGCAGAAACGAAACTCTTTCTCCTGTATATGTACATTTATTTACAATTTTGAGCATTTATCCAAACCAAAACATGCTTATTATAATTACAAATTCAATTATACGTTTCGTTTTACTTACTGCTCCTCTCGAGACATGTAAATAATCGGGAAATAAAGAGAGATATGATTCGAAGGTAAAAATTACAAGATTATTGTTAATTTATACTATAATTTATTACTTTTAACAAGTGTTTCTGTTCATGCATGTTTCGCGTGTGAATATGTTTCGCGTATTATACGCGCTCTCTTAAGTATGTATAGGTATTGCCTTCAGTACATACAGCATTTCTTTTTTTTTTTCTTTTTCTGATGTATCCTCCTTTTGTCGCGGCTTAAATTTCAGCAAATTAAAGATTATTTTCTTAAACCTATGCCCTGTATAGACCATTGGTGATAATAAATAAGAAATCCATAGGAAAACAGCATCCGATCTCCACGCATCGGCGTAACACGCGCGCGTTACATTACATCATATATATAATATACTATATATATATTTATATTTAACTTTTTTTTTTAACATCATAGCATTCCCAACACTTTCATCCTCGAAAGACAACGTGCCAACATGATCGTTTTGCGCAAACTAGAAGTTTCCGTAATTCGGATTCAACTGAGAATCATGAGAAACTCCGTCGCATCTCCCACGCGCATACACACTCAAACATACCGACGCAAACGTGTCTCCCCAATTAGACGTATATTTACATAGATATACAGCGCTACGTTGGCTTGCTCTCGCAAATTGTGATATTGTGCCACGCACGGTATCATATATATTGTTATGTATATTGATTCACATCATACACATTTGTGTCGCGTATGTACAGAGGGAAAAGTATCGGGTTAGAAAAATACAGCCATTTTACTCAGGATTGTAAGAAACTTTCTAACATCTTTCGAAGTGTCACGCTATAACCAGAGAGAAGTTTGAGAACGACTATCCGGACGTTTTCGCTGACCCTTGTTTCGATCGTCGTCTGCATATTTTAGAATTGGAACTATCGCACATAATCAGATCTACTTTTTCAGCATTGCCGTTTTTGTTGCACGTTCGTGTGTTGCACAATACGTGGATCAAGAATACGTTCCGTGTACGGATTTAATTATGAAATAATAATATAATGTAGTTCCAACTTTTAAATAGACACAGATACTTTGTTATTGATAAATAAGGATGGATAGAGGCTAGAAGAAAATCAAATTGGCGCATTGCAACAATGAATTAATAATCATTAACTGCGAGCACACTTTTATATTGGAACATGCTGTAAAATATTTGCTTTCTATTTTCAGTTTACACATGTGACATGTATGATTTGTAAAATTTGGTTGACTATTAATTTCCTGAGTGCAGTTCACACGTTATTTAACCGTGGAAGAATAATGAAAGTCAAATATTTGAATCAATTGGAGAATATTTGAGAGAGAAAAGAATAAAAAAAAACAACACTTGCAAAATTCTATAGATATCAGTTAAATCTTGCGCGCGTATCGTATTTTTGACATAAAAGAATATATTTCATTTTATAATCTGTGTACGAGTGTGTGCGCATTGCCATATGCATATCAAAACGTTAAATAATCGTATAAATTCCAAAGTTAAATATCAACACTGCATGCTCTGGTTTCGCTACGTTATTACGCTCGCGCTTGTCTCCTACGCTTCGTTAGTGACACGGAAAGCAAAGCGTGAGAACTTCGCTAATTAAGAAGCGATCGACTTCACCCGGAAGTCTCTTTACCCTTTACGACGATGCTAAGTGGCACGCGACGCGACCTAAAGTAAGGACGAGATGAGGAAAGGGAAAGAGGAGGCTCACTCGCGGGAGAATGAGTCGCGATCGAAGAGCAAGAGTCGGCAAACTTTCCGGCAAAGTTATGAAAGAGCTTAAACTTTACAGTTGGCTCGCGCGGATTTATTGTGGCCGGAGCGGCTTAAGTAGGCTTTACCTCACGGAGGTTTACATAAATTAAAAGATTCATCCGAATTGAAAACCTCGATCCTAATTCGGACGACTTCGTTTCCGGCGTCAAATAAATTTCGGCCCACGACAAAGTTATTCTTGCGTTATTTCCCAAAGAACTTTAGATATCGTAATACGAATGTCGCCTTGCGCATCATCAAAATACTTTTATCTAGTTTTGCAGAGAGAGATGTTAAAAATTGTCGATTAAACTAAGCACTATTTATCTTACTGGATAACTTTATCACTTGTCACATCATTAATTATATGTTGCTTCAAATAAGATGAAACATAAATCGCACAATAAATAACACTATTGCAAGATTTAAAGGAAAAAAGATTTAATAATAAAAAAAAACGTAAAACATTGTTTTGAAATTCGTTACTATTGAACAATATAAAACGAAGAAATTGGCTGGCAAAGCAATTGTCGGTTTACGCAAAACATCACACGGAAAGCTCGCCGACAGATGGTTCGATTCTGCGACGAGACGTTCGTCAAGCTCGTATCCGCGTTATTTATCACGCACTCGTTCGAGTTTACGCGTGCGAAATATACGCGAATCGTGTGTGTTTCACCTAAATCAACCTAGATCCTCGTCGTTAACCGCGCCGCGTGTAACACAAAACGATACGATAGGATTGACGGTACTCGTAAATTCGCGGAATATTTACAAATATACATTGAAAGCTTAAAACTACGTCGTACAGCATTCAAAAACCCAATAGAGTAAAAAGCTTTGATTGTAGACGTTATTGCAAATACGCACGTAACGTGTCGAATTTAACTGTCGCGGTTAACAGCGATGTGCTCGCAACGTTGCTCGCGCTTGCAAAAATTTCCGAATTTATTCAGATTTTAATTTCCAAATTGATTTAATCTTGCACTGTGTACCTAAGATATTCAATATTCTAAAAATCTTACCAAAAACAAGTAACATGCTGCATAAAAAGTTTTCTCAAAGCGATATAATTTTTAACAACTGAAGTAAAATTAAATTGTCTTGCAATTGAGATTTATTCATGCTGATCTCTTCAAGTAAATCTTATTACTTAAAATCTTTTATTTCAAAAGAATCTTTTTTTACTTTAATTTTAGATAAATTTTTTGCTGTGCAGTCAAATATTTTTGAATCTTTCTGCATGGCAAGTGGCAGCGTGTTGTATGGAGATTCCATCGACTTGAAAAATCAAAGATTATAAATGTCAATATAGATTATAAATCAAAGATTATAAGACAATAAATGTTACTTATTGCTAAAAGTGCAGTATTAATTAATTAATTAATTAGTGAGTAGAGATATCGTGTATCTCTCAGACAGGTGCTAATCACTTTACTTAGATGTGAAACCCGAGGCAACCTATGCATCTTCGATGTGAACGCGATTCGAGAGATGCTCACATTACGTCAATCAAATATTAGTTGAAACATGAACTTCGCGATTGCGTGGGAGGTCATGCAACTCTGCGCAATTTAATCAATCATGGGGGCACAAATTATTTTTGCCGCCGCGCGCAGTAATGCAGTCTGACAGGATATGTTTGCCGCCATATAGATCACAAGAAAAAAAAGGGGAATAAAAGAAAAGCAGCACGATGTAGAATTAATTTGCTTGATTATACATGTCGATTCCCTGCTGTTACGCGCGGACGCACATCTCGAAAGTTGATCTCTCGGAAGTTGATGCACGAACAGCTATCGCACTCGTACTGATATGTTTGGAAATTCGGTCACGGCGAACTTAACGCTTGTCCGCAAACAAAGGACGCGAAGGGTCGTCGAAACTTAGGATATGTATGTACACGATGTCTCAAGGAACTGCTCTCGGCGCGACACCCGACTTACAAGTAGACTCCAGACGGAAATTTTCCGTCGGAACATAATAAAATCTTATTTTATATCCAGAGAATTTTTGGAATTTAGCAAATGTTTCATTTACTTTAGTTTTCTTCACTTTAGTTAAATTAGTCTTTATTTTAATCTTTCATACTAATATGCATAATAATTTTACTTATTCCGATTTTATTTAATAAGAAATTAATAATTTGCAATCAAACATCGTGAGATCTTGAAATTGTAAATCACGATTTTGCACTCATGCAAGCCATCGTACCGAAAATTGCGTTTTCGAAATCTTCGTGTACACCGCATTGTCATTGTTCCAAGTCCACCTGATTATTCATGCGATTAGTATGGCATTGATATATCGGAATACGCGACAAATCCTACGTGTCTTGGAGTGGTTGAAACAAGTTCCGGAATTTCGCCATTCAATCGAATCCATACTGTGCTCGCAAATCAAGCTTGCAAGTGCATGTGTGCGTTTATATGTGTGATAGAAAAATCGTAAAATAACGTATGTCAGGAATTCTCAACCCTCGCGCATTCACACTTCGCCTATTGATTTATATACTCGTCGCTTAAATACTTGGAGTGACATAGCTTGTCCAAAAATGTTGGCAAACGTTTTTCAGAGTAACAATTTACTTGTAATATATGAATATTAATCAATAATCACAATAAATAATCAAAATAAAAACAAATTATTAGTGAAAACATATAACATATAAAATAGCTATGTTAATAAATTTTGTAGATACAAAAATTCACATTCTTAATTTTAAAGATTTTCTCCGAAAGTTGGAAGCATTTTCTTTTAAGCGATTTATATGTTACAAGTTAATGTGTTAATGATTTTAACAAGATTGCCTAAACATTGAGAAGTCTTATCATTATGAACTAAAACTGCAGTAGTATCAGAGAAGCGTTAAATTGAGAAAACCTGAGATACTCAAATATGTAAATATCGACTAATTTGAATTTTTCAAGACACCAGAAACTCTTCCAAAAAGCGATTTAACAGCAAATTCTCTGACAAGTGCTCGCAAAAATAAGAATTGTTAATTCCAAAAAATAAAATCAACCATTTTTTCCTTTCAAATACTGTGATGCTCAGAAAATAGCTTATTCACGATCTTTACAATTTACGGGCTTCAATAAATTAATTATTCTTCAATATTAATAACATATTTAAGAGCGTTCGAGAGTACACGGTGTGTGTACACTATTCTCAAAAATTAATCTTCCTCTGTGTTATTCTAAAGCTTCCGCCCCGCGCTCGGGTCACCCTGTATATCGTGGAAGGAACGGCGCAAGTTCACTATGTCAGGTATGTATAATTTCCTCTGGTGTGTGTGTATGATGTGTGTATGTGTTTGGTGTGTGTGTGTGTGTGTGTGCACCGTAGTACAAATATACATACAGTTACACCGCGACGCGCGAGTATGTATAGCGTGTTCTTATGTATCGTCGTACAAACGGCGGTCTCGCTTGCCTTTGCTTTGAGCGAAAAAATATTGCTATACCTTACGTTCTACGTTAATACTGTGATAGCGTACTTAATTATCCACGGAGACGTATAGTGTGTACGTGTAATATATGCTCGCATAATAAATACACCTCTAACAGCTTTAACCCTCCGCGCGCTCTCGGAAATCTCATTTATTACCCGCTTTCGCGAATTTAAATTATATCGTCGAGGAATATCCGCCCTCTTACGAACGCGATTATTATACTTTAACGACTAGCCTCTCTAACGAGTCCTCAGGACATCATTAAACACTTGTCGCTTGCGATTTGTACAGATTACCCTAAATTTCCCGCTAATACGCGCGATACGACGGCGCCGCGCGGATTGATCGACGCGGTGTTCTGTTTCGCGGAATCTCACTTAGCAATTATTTGAGCTACTCATGCGAGAATATTTAGCTCTATCGTCGGTACACATGTATTCCAGCCTGTCCCCATAATTCGTTATCATAGTGCACGCGATGTGGACGCGATGAATCGTTGCTGCATCCGATAGCAACAAATTTACAGCTGATTTTTTTATTCTAATTCGGATTGCGTGCCAATCTCAACCAAGTGAAATACAGTCTTCTTTTCGCGAAATATCTTTATTCTCCATTTAACATGATAATGATAACAACGAATAAAAATTTCGTATTTTTAATAACGTACATTTATCCATTCCAAGTGACAAGAATTTAGAAAATTGATTGCTTTTTTAAAGCACAATAAAAATAGAAATAAAAATACTATTTTTATTTCTATTATTTTTCTTATATTTCTTGTGACTGCTGTAAATTGTTTTTTGAACGTATCGGTGGCCCCTATAACGCCCATTGAAAACAAAGCCCTTCTTTCCGTATCATCGAGCACGTTTCCTGAATTTCTAGAAAAATGGGAAACGTTCCGTAAGACTCGGCTTTTCTCTTTCACTTGGAAACGATTGACGCGCAATGGAACGCGAAAACCGATACGCAAACGCAGCTGTTGCGGTTCCAAATGCAAGAACAACAGTACCTGTTGCGAGAATGTCGAGAGCCTACAGTCTCGTTGTTACATCACAAATACGATGATTCACACCGGTGAGTCACGTTTGTTGTCCCGTGTCTCTTCCTTATGAGGGAGGGGGAAGTCAAATCGCACTCTCGTTTACACGCTGATCAGCTTGCGGAAGGCCTTACGGAATTCGGGGTTGAACACAGTGTATATTACGGGATTTACAAAGCTGTTCATGTAGCCCAGCCAGGAAGTGACGATGAAGGCTGTGACGCCGGGCTGACAAGCCTTCGTCAGCTTTGTGCAGATCGCATCCATGATGTTGCAAGTGAAGAAGGGTACCCAGCATATCAGAAAGACACCTGTGACATTTATTAGGACACGAGTTAATCCAGATAATTATGATACAAAGATGAATGATATAATTTATTAGAGACTTCGCATATGCACATAAATATATTGCAATGCGCAGCATCTATTCGTAATTAATGATATATGTTTATGATAACCATAATTAATGATTAATTCTGACTGATTTAAATTTCAATTATTAGTTTGATGACTCATCTCGGTAAACATTTATTGCTCTCTGATAATTATTTATCATTGAGAATACAATCACGAAATTGAATTCCAAACCATTTGTTATTATCATCGACAAAGTAAATACTTCAGATTTTAGCACTTTAGTTTGCAAAACATATTCCATTACTGGCTTTATTAACACACCCAACTTCCTAGCAGCGTCTGCTATTAACTCACCCTTTGATGTCTTATATATCAAAGCACTATTGCAAAATACAAACTGTCTAATCCTACTTCCATCCAACTTTATAATAGATCATTCAGATTGAGTATAAGTTTTAGTTTCTTAACACCAAAATTTGCATACAGCTCGAGAGTACTAATTTAAACTCTTTCTCCTTTTACGGCTATAAAAACGAAGTCACATCTCAAAGGACAAAGAGATTGAAATTAAAGCTTAAACAATTTTCGCTTTCTATGGCGACATTATTCCAGTCGTAATATCATAATTATTCCAATGAAAATAAAACAATGGTGTTAAAAGAAATATCTATTAATTTATCTTGAACATTAAAAAAAAATAAAAAATAAATGACAGCTTCGTTTTTATATGTTAACTACATTCACAATCTTTTATTTCGCATAAAATTCGATTTCCAGAACTACGATCTACATTTCGAGTAGTAAAAATTAATCGTCCGTGTATTTCTTTTTATTAATACGGATTTATCATCCATCAGTAGTTGCGGACGTAAAGCGGTCAGTTCGATTGAATTGCCATGTCGAACATGTAACTAATCTTCTTCGGTAGTTTTTATACCATTCGTCTGTCCGCCCGAACCACGTCCGAACTTTCACATACACGCGATTCGTCTCTAGTGCTCTTCCACGTTCCGCCTTTAACTTGCAAGCGCATCAATAAATAATAGATGCAAGCAGAGCGAGCGCGGGCTGCTTATCAATGCAGCGTCACGCAAGCGGACCTACCTAACACGATAGCCAGCGTCTTCGTGGCCTTGCGCTCCTTCTTCGCCGAGCTCTTTTCCCGCTTCTTCTTGCTGGCCTTGTTGGCCTTGTATATCGTGAACCTTGACCCGGCCGACGCGTTTTTCCGATCCTTTTTACACGTGGACGACAGTACGCTCGGTGTCCTGGATAACTGTAACGGCAGAAGCGAACCCGCGCTCTTCATTCTCTTTAGTTCCTGTTTATTCGCGCCGCCGTTGTTCGCGCCGTTCTTTTTCGTCTGCGTGGACGAAGTGACGCTGGTCGTCCCACGTGGCGGCGGCGGCGACGACGAGGTCGACGAGGACGGCGGGCCCGAGGTGATCCGTGGGTTCGGGCTCGGGCTGGAATTCGTCTCGAGCGGCTCATGGATCATCGTGCTGCTTGCCGCGCCGTCGTAGCCAGCAGAGTCGCTCCGCTGCACGTGGGGTGCCCCCCCGCCGCTCAGTTGGGCTTGCGCCACCGCACTGAAACGACAACTGCGATTCGAGTGTCAGAAAAACTCGACACTCATCCGCTGACCTGAGATTAACTTTAAATCATTTTATTCATTAAAATACAATGCTGGCCAAGAGTTTAAAATTTCAACATAGAAACGTAAAAGTTGCATAAAATAGAAATAAAATTTAACGCACATTAACTTTCAGTAAGCTTCTTGAATCATTTTTTTTTTATTATTTACATATGCCTGTGCATTAGACACTGTTGTAAGTAAAATTTGCAAAAACGTTCTTGTCTAATGCAATTATTTTTAAAATTTAAACATATTTCTGAATATTTTTATTATTAGTAATTGTTGGCATAAATTATTTCTTTTATATTCTGAATCTTGCAAACATTTATAACGCGTTTTTACGTTTCTCTGAGATAATTGCATATTTTGGTTGGTATTGCAACATATTAAATTATAATAGATAAAGTATGAAGATACTTTTAGAAAAACGTCATGGAGAATTGGGTTATATAACAATTTAATATTTGAAATTAGGAGACATATTTTAATATCACTTATTAAAATGCGCATGCAAATGATAGTCATACATCTTCTAGAGGGAGAATACAAAGGAAAAAGAATGTTTAAAAAATGTAGCAAAATGTTACTTTTTTTGGTTCTAAAGAGAATTTTTTCTTGCATACTTTACTAAATTTTAATATAAAATGTCCCTTTTTATTTGGTAAAATAATTATGTATAATTGCAATAATATGCAATTTTATAATTATAAGAGAGTAATTATATATATATAATTGCTACATTAAAATGATAAACCACGTACAACTTGTTGCTTTCCACCAAGAGTCACTTAAAATTGCTGCATTTTATTATCTTCAAAATATAATCCTTCGTCATAACAAGAAACAGGAATGCAATTATTGCGGTTTCCATTTATCAACAAATTGCATTATGAGCGTACGAAATCTTTCCAACATAAACGCGACCTAAATAAACGCTAATACCACTTGCAGTTGAGCACCGAAAATACACGCTAATTAATAATTGTGAAATGTCGGCACGCGGAGTTGATTGGCCCGTTTTCAAAGGTAACGCGAGCGGCTAAATGCAAATTGCTCGCGCACGTTGGTACAAAGGGCCCGCCTATCACGATTAGCTCGCGAACTTTCGGATTACTATCGGAGCGACGAGTTTCCATTAAACCAGTACTGTGCGCGGGCTTTGTACGAGGTTTTGGAAATCGTGGCTGAAGAGAGGCACGCGGACACTCTCGCAGACCGGGAGTGGCCATCATTGTACCATCAACAGAACGGAAAAAATGAACGGACCGCGAAATCAGCCGCTTTTCGCCACTTCTATTGTGCTTCTCGCACGAATTTTTCGCTTCGCTCGATTGCTGACATGCTCGGATTTTCGGATGTCTAACTTGCTAGCATGCGAACCGGCTTGACGTGCCTTCCTGTCCAGAGTTTTCCGATCCAGCAAAGTTCCGGCATCATCCTGAATTATTTTCGCTTTTTTATTCCGTGAAAACAAGTTACCAAAAGATACTTCTAAAATGTAAAACATTAATACAATATTCCATTTCTCACAGCGCAAAAATAAATAAAAAAATAATTTGTTACTATAACTTTTACATAAAGAACGTAAAATTGCTTTACAAGAAATATAATACTAAACAATTACCGTCGCTTTCATCTAATTACAAAAGATACATATGCAGCAATGTGTTATTTCATTAACAGAACCATTAGACTCGAAAAAATAAATATTATTTAAAATCTTTTTTAACTCAAAGTAGCTTTTACATTTTGTAGTTTCATAAAATGGCGTGTATAAGTATGAATATATTATTACCGTAATATATTACCGAAAGGAACAGAAATAACCTGAAACTGCAATCATAGCTCACTCAAAACGAATCCGCAATTATTCTCACGTTACAAGTAATCTGAAGAGAGAGGACTCGAAGCAGAAGGGATACAAACTTTGTAACACGCGAGGTAGAAATAATATCCTCTTAATTGGAAGCTCCCAATTGGCCAATTAAACGACGCGCTGAAACTTTTGATTGACTCAAAACCTTTCCGTGTCGTCCGGAACTCTTTCGAAAGGGCAAGAAAATAATTATTGCTCGCTATCGCGATACCCGTTCGCGTGTTGATTTACTTTATTTAGTGTATCGCTTCTTTTTCGTCCCACCTGCTACAACTAATCAAGGAATTTCGCGAATCTTATTCGCGAAATCGAGTAGAAAATAATAGTATAATTTTCGAAAAGCTTACGGAGTCGTTCAACGAAATATTTATCAGTATGCAAGTCAAGCTTCATGAAAAAAGTTTAATTGGAGATTAATAAAGCTCTCTTTCAGTTTTTGTAGAAATTCAAGTTTTTTATCTTTTTTAAATTGACGTTGCAAGGAATATTAAACAAAAAAGAAGATTTGAAAAAGTGATTTTATATCTGATCATTTATTTTTGTCAATTTAAATTGCAGTCGTAGACGTGATTATCAAAGAACTATTTATAACAATTATATAATAAATATTGATAAATAAAATGTCAGATATCAGTACATTTTGTATAATTATAATGAATCAACTCACCAATCGTTCTATCTTATTGTTAGCTACATACGCTGTCAGCTGTACCTAAAGAAATCAATATATACATATATTTTATAATAATTATTAGGAATTATCATTTTATGCATGTTGATTAATTACGTATTATTTAACGATTATAATTTTAAATGAAATGTAACTACGTACAATAAATTACGTAAATAATTCTCAAATTATAATAAATATTTTCATAAATATGTATTTTAATAAATATTTTCAAAAAACTAAAATAGTATTTAAAATATCTAAAAAATGCAATTGTAATTATGTATGTACATATGTATTCTCATAATTATGTGAGACATGTATTTAATTAATTAAAAAATAATTGATATTTACTAGCTAGGATATTGCTTTTACTACTGTTTTTTACATAACAGCTTTTTACTACTGTTTCTGATCAAGATTCTATTTTAAATTGCTTCGCAACAGCTCCATCGTCAGTACAGACCAAAAGTCTATTTACTGATATAACCTATTATAACCTATTTAGATCTACAACCGGACAATCGACGAAACATTATTAAGTACAAATATCCGCGATAAATAATACATTCCGACAATCGCTCATTACTTTAATTGACATTGCTAACAAAAATTTGCAATCCTTATGCAGTTTTACTCCGTGATTACTATACACAATTAAACAATTTATGTTTCACGAAGCGTTAGCACTTTGCATTCCGAAACCGAAGTAGCCTCGAACCAGACTCCACCCGGATAAAAGCTTAATAGCCGCGCAATCGTGGGATGGCGCCACCCCCCCATCATTTTTCTCGCCTAAATAACGGAATTGACGCGCAAATTCCGCGGCTCCTGCCTAAGTAACGGAATGGCGGATTACGTTTCGCAAAACGCGTAAATTTAATCGTGTATTTTATTGATAATAGTGCATAATAATTGTAAATTTTTATCGGGAGTGCTGATTAAAGTGATGTGCGATTGCCGGAGTGTCACTCAATGAGTGTGCAGATTTTAATATCATGAATATGCAAAGTAATTCCTACATTTACTTGAGAAAATCTATACACAATATATTTTTGCTTAGATAGAGCATGAAAATTTAGTTTGTCGGAAGTGAATCAGGTAAAACGTATATATGCGTATTTGTAACTGAAACATTAGCGCGATCGCCAGAACAATTGTCGTTCGTCTCACTTGCTCGAAATGCGTATGTAGTGTTAAATTAATTGCGAAATGTGTAAAGTTATAATAATAATCGGGATAGTTATGTGCGTGGGCGCGTTGCAGCACGCGTGGGGATGCATTTCGCAATATCGCGTTGTAGCAACTTCACGATTTTCGCATAAGTGAAGTGTACGGATTAATTTTCGCGTAAATGAAGTTACGGATTAATTTTCGCTCGTAGTGTGAGTAGTGAATAAGTGTGGCTTCCTGGCATTCATTGATTCTTCGGCAGAATTAAGGCGAAGCAGAAGGATTTGAAATGGATTCTGCAGCAGGCACAGCGAACTGCAATATTCTAGCAAGTAAATACAATTATTTATTCATTATTTTTAAAATATGTACATTACTATGTACATTACTATGAGAACACATACATATATAATCACACAATTTACATTTATTAAATGCTTATTAAATTATTTGAATATTTATTAAAATGCTTTCAAAAATTTATTAAATATTATTTTAAAATATTTATTTATGCAATTTATTGAGCACATAATTATAATCAAAATAGAAACAATTAAAAAATATGCATAATAATCAACATGTATGTAAAATGTATGATAATTCATTATAATTAAAATATATATTAATTTTTTCAAATACAGCTGAGATGGCGTATTTTGCTTTAGGATACAACGAGTTGATTCATTCTCATTATATTTATATAATTATACAAAATACTAATATTCTCTGCTGTCGTTTTATTCATGAATATTTATTATATCATTATGATTTAATAGTTACCTTCTCATTAGCGATATGTGTCGTTTTTACAAATAAAATATAAAATAACTTTTCTATTTTAACAGTAAAAAATTTCAAAATTTGCACATAAGTATACAATTTGTGTCAATGCATTCATACATTCAATAATAAAATTACCAAATTTTTAAAATAAAAATAATATAAACATATATGAAGAAAAAAATTTTATAGAGATATAAACCATAAAAAGCTGAATTTAAAAAATTACTATTCTAGAAATATTAATTTTGAATATGTAAGATTAAATTTAATTTTAATGCATATTAGTATTTTTTACTTAATTATATTAATATATTTAATGTATTCATGTTTTTGCAAATGAGTAAATTGTTAAAATACAGTTATAGATGCACTTAATCGGTGCAATGGAAAAGTTATGATTATTGATACAATTATTTGTACAGTAATTTATTTGCTTTTATGCAAACACATTTTACCGTACAAATCTTTCTTCACCAAGCGTCATAAAATTTATCAGATTATTTTAACTACTGCCTGATAAGAAATGCAAATTATCATCTTTCATTCTCACGAATGAATAAAATATCACATTATCGTTACTTTCATTTTTCAAACTGTCTATGAATCTAAAAATTCGTAAATTTTTAAGCAATTGTTTCTCGCAGCTTAACGACAAGTGGAAAGAGAAGTTGTATCTCAGTTATACACTTTTTTTATTCAATTAATATAGAAATTGTTTTATCAATTATTTTTGGCATTATTTGTGACACACAAAAAGTATTTAATATATAAATTGTTAATGTTTTATTATATATATAAAATATAAAAATATAAAATAAAATATTTCTTAATTATATGAAATATTTAATATAATTCTTTCTACTTTAATGTAGTATTTTTTAACGGCAATACAAAGAAAAAAATATAAAATTTAATATGATATAATTATCTTGATAAAAATTTTATGTAAAAATAATTATTCAGAAAAATCAATACATTCAATTATTACTTTTCATGCCGTTATTACACTCAATTACTCGTGTAACAATTTAGACAAATGATTGACGTCGCAAGTGTTATCGTAAATTAATTATTCTATGATTTGAAATAGAAGACATTAAAGAATGTCAAATGTGTTATATAACATTGCCAAAAACGATCTCTGAAGACAGCAACTGTCTCAAAAACTATGCATCTGCTAGATTCTTTTCCCTTTCACGGTTTTTCGCTTTTGTATGACAAGTCGTGTTGCGCAACAGCATGACAATACGATTCGATATCCGGTGAAAGGAAATTCTGACATCTCCCTTTCGCTCGCGGCGGGACGCGTGATAAGATATGGTGAAATTCTTACGCTGCTTCCTCGACGACCGTCGCTAAAAAGAATTCCGTGCTCTTGTCGTTGGAGATGACGACGACGGGATCAAGAGGCGTCTCGTCCTCATCCTCGTTGCTGCCGGAAGCGGTGTTTGTTGGTTCCTCGATCCCAGGTGCCACCAGGGCGGCCGCCCCCAGCGCCGTTTCCGCGAACCTTGCCACAGAATACCCACTACGTGATCTTAGTCAAAAGCCTCTAGAAAAGCCTCTACACCTATCATGCACTTCCTCGTTTTTCCGGCATCCCTCAGCATTAATCCGGCAAGTAGCGTATCTACCATGCACAAAGCGATGATACGCTTTTTGACAGCACCTGCAAGATCCTGAGTGACAGAGCGTCGCTGTTTCTTTTTTACAGTAAAGGTCTCAAAGGATTGCTGCTTATCTAAAATTTGCTACGAGACAGTAACCAAATATTATGACAATTAACACAATTTTTTCTATAAATTTATATAGAAATTTGTATTTTTTTAAGAGAAAGAGTTATTCAATATTTAAAAAGCTTAGAGACATGTAGACAAATCCAAAGCAATTTAAAAATACTAACAAATTTTAAAAGACTAATGGCGAATTTTGTTGAATGTAAAATATTGGTGCAAATGGAAATCTATTATACTAAATTCATCTAATTGCAAAAATATGTATAAGCGACTTGTTCATTAAAATTCAACATATACATATTCTGCTAAAACAATATAACAACTTGTACTCCGCATCTCATTTGTACATGCATTTCATTATACACAATTCTCATTAATATATACATATTACTGCTTATATTATATGTACATAAACTATTACATCAATTTATACACGGTAAACTTTAGCGTGCATCAATGTACATTAATGCATCCAACCGAATTCGCTGTTTTACAATCTTTCCCGCAATATTACAATTCACAAATTTTAATAAAATAAAATATTTTTTTTTAATGTTACTGTCCAAACTTTAGTCGTTTGAATAATGAAGAATTACGTAAACGACACACACATTAAATTTTCTTCAATTTATATAAATGGTTTATCATTGCAAAATAATTCCTACGTTTAGCAGAAGACCGTAATTTGAGACTACCTTCATAAGCTTTATCGATGCTGCTATCTGTAAGCTAGAAATCCCACTGTTAAACTTCGCATTGTTAAACTTTAAAGTAGGGATATCCACGATACAATGCGACAGACAACGTCAAACAGTGTGTTCGAAAATCGCCTGCTTATAGTGCGATGCAGCATTTTCATAAGTTACATATCCCTCTATATACATATATGATAAAGTATACATCGCGCGCGAATAAATTTTTTGCAAACAAAGATCCCTATACGCGAAAAAATTTATTTTCATACCTAAATACGCAAATTTATTTAACAATGTTTGGTTTCTAAATTTTTTAAATAATATTAATAAATTGCTGCTAAACTCATAAAAAATAAAAAAAAAACATTTTGGGAGAACATTTATTTTTATATTTTATCAATAATAGTAACAATTCAAGATTTAAAACAAAATATAGTGGGTATTTATAACAAATAAATTAACGGGCGATTGTATTGCTAGCGTTTGTTCTACCAAAAAACGCAATTAATTTGTTAAAATTTGTTTAATTAAAGTTACTTTAATTATATACGCAATACTTTACAGAGAAAGCAATTTTATGTAAAAGACTTCATTATCGATAAATTAATACGATCTTAATTAAAATCAACATTCTACCTTTATCTCAATTTCAATAGCAGCAACGCAAGCAATTTCGATTTTGCGTCACTACATAGAATAATTATTAATTATGGTGGTCACTGGGGTAAAATCTAATAAAAGCATACATAATGAACGTCAGTCCGGGATAAGATATGCGTGCCGCGGCAACAGGATCCGTGCATTAGATTGCGAAAGTAAATATCAACAATTCCGTGCTTTCGACCGAATTTCGGACCGCGCGATAACAAAGTCGGTAAAGGGACAACGTGGCCAGCGTGAGTGCGCGCGGGGGATTAACTGGGATGCCAGATTATGTCAGATACATTGCACCCTGGGGAGATACCAAACGCGCACGAAGTTACCAAATTGCGACTGCGGCTGTAAACACCTAAGTCTAATTTATTGTTAACGGCTAAATGTCACGCGTCATTGTAAACGGGAGCAAATTAAGTAGAACTATTCATTCTCTTTCAAGTTGCGTTATCCCCAATATTTATTTTTTAATATTGCAAATGATGCAAATGAAAATTTTGGTGCATTTTTACAAACTGACTAGGATTGCATATCTATAAAAAAATAATATAATACAATACTTTTTTTTTAATACGGAGACTTGCAAAACATTTTTAAAAATTTAGAATGATTAACATCTGAAAAAATTAATATGTACATTAAGGTTAGTTAAATTTATTAACGCTAATCGATATTAGTAAAGCTAGCTAAAATATCAAACTTTTTTTTTTTTCATGTAGTGCAAAATTTTCTGACTGATGCATTACTTTATGTCATACAAAATAAAATAAGAATCATAATGTAATTCTTATATTTTGAGTTAAACGACATTTTCCGGTGCTGTGCAACAGCAACCTTGCTTTTTGGCTGCTTTTCTCCGAGTACGTACTCCGCGTTTAAGCGCTTAAATACTTAAAGATTTTCTGCACTCTTCGTTGGAAGGAAAGTAAACAGGAGTTTGTGTTAGACAGTTTCGTTTACCTTCGCGGCACTACCATCGAGTCTCAAGTACTTAACGAAGTACCTTAATATTTTTCAAAAATCCTTCTTAGGTAGAAATGTGTCAGATATTTACGAACGTATAATGTCTATAAGCTGCATATAACTATAAGGTTCTCTCAAAAGTATTGCCCTCTTTCCCCTCTTCTATATATAAACTAAACATATAACTTTTTTAAAATTCGTAGTTGATTTTTCTTGAATAAAACCTTGATTAAACACTTGCAACTTCAAGTTATAATATATTAAAACTTTAAGTTCGAACATTAAATGTCTCTTCAACTAGATTGAGAAATTAAAATTTCTTTAAAGTGAAGCGGCTAATAGAAATATAAGATCTTGTTGTCCACCGTCAAATTGTATTTTTTTTAAACTTTAATTTAACATTAAAGTCATTACTTGTCCTAACTTATGCCACAATATTTTTAATAAAAAAGAAGTAATTGTACTTTCTTGTTGAATCGCGTAAAATGAGAACATATTGTAAAACGACGAACAAATGTTAAAATGGGAATTTTATTCCTCTAAAACTATCATCGCGATACTTTGAGGTAAATAATTCTTATATCGAATTTATGAGCTGAGAATAGCTTTATATGCGGTTTCAATGCATCAGTAAATGGTTGCACATAAATAAATATGAATACTTGTCATCCTGGTTTACGACGTCACGCGTGGTGGTCGTGCGAATTTTATACAGTCGCGGATATTCACGTTCCATGAAAAATATGCAAAGGCAGTAAAATATCGCGAATGTGTTGCAATTTTAAATTGTGCACGCTAGGACAATCGTATTAGCCTTTTTAAAATACTGATAAAATTCACTATAAATGCTATTTTATATAAAGTAAATTAAACTATAATAATAATTAATAATGAAAAATGTTTTTCTTGTTGCACAACATATTTTACAGCACTTGTGCAGCAGTCTTTTCATTTTAATTTGATCAACTTTCTAATTTGGTTTATTCACCACTCTTATAAATATTAATCTAACGCGTCTATTATGAACATTAAACGTCAATATTTTTCTCGATAATATTCAATTCACGCGGACGTTAACGAGAATTGCACGCGGAGGACAAACGAGAAAGATGTAACAAGGTGCACGCTTTAAAAGATGCAGGCAAAAGACCGGCGATTAAGCCGCGTAGAAGTAGTTAGCTATTCAAGACGGCTGGCTCTCTCGTCAGCACGACGGAAATGAAAGCACGTGCGAGCAGAGGCGTGCGAGAAAAGCGAATTATCCGAGGATGTTCGGGACTTAACCTTCGGTCACGCCGTCTCTCAACCTCGCGCTGCTTTGCCAGCTGCCGCCAATCTCCGCGAGAAATTGTCTCGTTGGAATGCAAACCTTACGCGGTCGCGAAAATTGAAAAGAATCGTCGCACATCGAGCACGCGACGTGCCCTAAGTGGAGATGGCCTGTCTTCGCGCTTATCACGCCAACAAACGGACCGGATAACGTCGTATAAGAGGACGTATGAATAAATTTCCTCGCGTGACATTTCCCTGCGGAACAATTTCTCACAGTGCCGCGCGGATCACATAAATCAATCTCGATTTAAAAAAATAATTTTATACATAACGATTAGATGGCTGCAGCTTGGAATTTTAATTGAGAAAAAATCATGAATCCAAAATTATGTCGGGCGATTAAATAAAAATTCACGGTCCATCTATAAATATGAATGTATGTGGAAATATATTTTTATATATAAATAATAAAATGTATCTACGTATTATGTAGAGATAATAATACGTATTTATGTGAACAATATAGCATCTATATTATATTATATATAAGATAGATTTTTTGGATACAATTTACTAAATTATTCTAAATAGTCATCCTTGCCTGCAGAGTTAAGGATTCAACACTCCGAGAAAAACATATGAAGGGAAAACACGAAGAGTTAAAAATCCAAGAATTTATAGACCTACACTAGCACGAAGGGTCGAGAATGTAATGGTTTAAGGATGCATGAAAGTACATGTATACATAAAAGTCTTATAAATCGTGCGCTGCTCAATTTTTTAAAGCAATTGCCTGTACTTTGAGATTTTTTATTGGAGAGAAAAACGCAAGAAACAAATGCAGAAGAATAAAACTAGATAAAAATATGTTCTACAAATCTGATTTATATTTATGATATTAACACTGTTTGTGATTATATTTCAATCTGAGTTGCATTAAAATTATATGCAAAATCACATGAAGATATAAATACGTATGCCATAATAAGAAAACAAATATTAATATACGAGCATATATATTTGCATTCATCGCATGCGAAAGCAGCAGTTTTGTCAGTAAAAGATACAGCATTACAGTTCATACATTTTCTATGTATGTTTCACGATAAATAAAAAATATGCATAAAAATTTACCATGAGACGAGGATTATGTTCGTTTCTCTAAATGTTTGACATCATTGGAAAGATAATCACAAAATTAAAATGAAAATTAAATCCCCATTCTCCAACTGAATAGAAAATACTTAATTACAAAATCGAATATGTGCATAAATTAATTGAAGAACGCCTGCAGGGCGGAAAAAAATTACGAAAATTGATCGTTTCTGCTGTAACTTTTACAAAACGAGTTTAACTGGTTAAATATTTAACGAGCAATTTGTGCAGTCGAGTACTCACCTGCGCGTGTGTGCGATATTCTCGATTATGCTCCCCGGTTTTATATCGCCTAAATTCGGTTTTCTGCTGGCACGAGCCCGCTTCGCTCTGTTTCGCAATGCCTGAAACGGTCAATCGAAAACTTACATTGTTACATAAATCAGACGAGGGGTTGCGAACGTAAGACACAAATGTTTAACATAAATCTCTGCGTGAGATTCCTACAGATAACACTCGAGATGTGTTATCGAGCACCTATCTGCGAGTAACAAGATTTATTTCGACAGTTTTACGGAAGGAAATCTTCGTGCCGCTAAGCATTCTAATATTTCCCTGTAGATTTAGCTGCATCGAAAATAGTTTCATTTCTCTTGTGTGAGTTTAAAAATCTAGGATTATATATTTCCCGATATTCGTACCTTTTTTTTTACGATAACGCTTTTGAAAAAGACATTTTCGTACTATCGTATTTTTTTCAGAAATAAATCCTCCAGAATAATTATTATAAAACAAAAAGAAAATTTAATTAAGCTTATACATTTCTTTCTTCCTATGATAATACAATAATGCTCATAAAACCAATCGATAAACTGTTAACTATAATATAATATAAAGTACTTAAAATATAATTAGATCAAATCATACAAAATAAGTTTCGAGAAAAGCAAAGTTATTGCTTTATGATTAAAAAAGTATAAATGTAGCCATTATTAATTTCTAAAATATTCTAAAATAATATTAAAAACTTTAGTATAATTTTGTAAAAAATTGTTTTCCCCTCTAAAAGATAATGTAGCAATTTTTTATAGATTTGTTTTAAAATTTGCTAAAACTGAAAGCTTGGTTTTGCTGTGTTTTAATATTTTATATGATTATTTTTAATGAAGCAAAATTTATATAATTGATAGTAAGGCTTTTCAATGATGCGCTCTGTAAAGAATTCACGGGTGTGAACCTGTGATATAACATCGCACGAATGACGCAGTAACATTATATTGAAAACAAAGGCCACATATCAATATTATTACGGTATTTCGCAAGCATTATCCGCGTACAACTGCCACAAGTATGAAATTAACAGCCCAATCGAAATACCCCTTGCGCTACAAACGCAGGAATTGTCCAACTATTCCGTATTTACGATCAACCGCAATATAATAGCAACCGCTGTATAAACCGCAGTTCACTTTGTTTTATCTGCCTCAGGATTAACCGCAGAAAATTTCAATACAATTTTTATCATAAATATGAAAAATTTGATATACAAGATGTCTCAAATTAACTGTATCACCATATTAATAGCAGATTTCTGAGGTTTCTTACACAATAAAAACATAAAGATCAATATGCGACGTGTCTGATTGTAAGCGCGTGATTTTTTGACAATATAGTTTATCAACTTTAAACACTTTTTATTTAAAAGTTATTGCATTATATCTCGATATTTTGATATGAAATGTTTTATTTCCAAATAACTTCAAGAATCTACCATTAACAAGTGACACGGTTGATCTCTGATATTCTGCATATACTTAAATTCTATAGAAGTTTTCTTATGGTAAAATTCGCCATAGTAAATACTTCAATGTTTAAACAACACGTGTTAAACGCTTAATTTCTAAATTATATAAATTTGTGCACGCATTTAATTTTATGATGGATGTTATAATTATCAATTAAATTATATTATAGTTTTTCTGTATATTTGTATTATTATATTTTCAATCTTGTAATTTTACGGCAAAATAATTTTAAAAAATTCCACCGTTAGTACAACAAAGACGGATTAATTCTAGTGACACCGCGGCATATACGTGACAATTAAATTACGAAGACAGCGGACAAGAGCCTTCACAAGAGCCATCTCTCATGCAGCCAATTTCGCGATCAGTTCACGTTCCTGAACTAATCACAGAGATAAAAGAGGCGCGAATAAATTTTTGCCCTTTTGTAATCGAGCAAGAGATAATTCCCTTTGCGTCTTGTCACCGACGTGCGTGCGTCGATTCAACTACAAAGACAGCTATCAATTTCTTTTTCTGGAGTAAGATCTTTGAGGATAAATTTCACCGCGCTCTTTGTGCAATTGCCATGCTTTAAAATTCAGCGCACACAGATGTGATTTTAACATCGCACATTTTATTTAAGGTTTTATTGCAAGGTTAAATTAATTTCACAAATATTCCACTAATTACTTTCACACAAATTTCATTATTAAATTGCAAATTTTTAACTATTACATTAAATTTTCTCAACATTGTTTGCGGCTTACATTGGCAACAATGGCTGTTTATAATCTATACATTTGTTTAACGCGCAATTTCGATTATCCGTGTGATTTTATATTTTCCGCTAGCCGGCTTGACCTTTCGATATTAGTATCTCTCAACCTATCGAGACAAAACTTATTCTTTTATGTGTACTATGTACATATAATAAGAGATTTAGTCAAGTTTTTATAATTTTTATCACACACATGACTTACAGTGAAAATTCTGACCTCAACGAGGAACAATTTTCCTTTATTTTAAATTGCAAAATGTAATCACACGACTGCTGTGCGTATTAATATACCGGTGACAAAATAATGACCATGTTGTTCGCGTATCTTTTAGCTCTCTTAAGCACGCGAAAAAATATAGGATCATACGACGGCATATTTATACGTGTTGCCGCAAAAAAATCTCATCGCTCTCACCTTGAATATATTGTAGTAGAGAAATACCATGATGATGCAGGGTATGTAGAAGCTGGACAGACTCGAGTAGATGATAAAATCCGTATTGTAGAACAGACATTGGTCCGGTATCCGGTCGGAGGTGTTATTCAAGCCTAGGACAATCGGACTGCCGATCGCGGCCGATATCACCCAAACCAACAGTATCGTCAACCATACTCTTCTATTGTTCTTGTGCCTCGCGTACTTTATCGGCTGGGTCACCGCTATGTATCTGCAATTCAAATTGGGTTCGTGTGCGTTACGATTCCCCCGCACGGCGGGCATTATATTGTCCGTGCAAATCCAGCGACATTCCCGTCTCATCCATCCTTCAGAACTCGCGTCTCGCGCGCCATAATTAAACTATACCGTTATCACTTTGGCCAATCGTTAGTTTTAGCGATATTCATTTCGGAGAGAACAAGAAACTTTAAATTTTAATTTATATTGTAAGAAAAAGATAAAAAGAGGAAGAAAAGAGATGGGCAGCACAAAATCACTATGAACCCGTGAACTTCACTTCGCGAAGCGTACACACCACGGACTAAGGAATAGAGGGACGGAGCACAAGCTGTACCGGGGGAGCACGTTTGCGGCGGGGGGAGGGGGGGGAAGCCGCCATATTCGTTTAGTAATCACCACACATAGAACTCACTATTTGCGTATGTGTGAGAAATGAAAGTCAGATCCTGCGCACAATAAACAAAATAGGAAATAGAAATAGGAATAATTATTAAAATATTAGAAATAAGAAATTGGAATTATTTATTTTAAAAATAAAAGAATAGAAAAAATTAATGCATGAATTAAGAAATAAGAATTGGAACTAATTAATATATTTTATTCTCTTGTTAGGTGTAAAATAATTTCTCTTTTTAATATTAAATGTTTATTGCTATTTCTAATATTTTGTCTACTGTATGCAGAGCCTCAGAGTAATAAAAGTTAAAAGTATTTTTATAAAATTTGTAGTACAACAATAATAAAACCGCCTAACTTCTTTACGCTTGTCACTCGTTATGTCTAGTGGCACCACTACACGAGTGTAACCATGTCACAGACACAGAATCTCTGTGTGAGAATCGCTACATCAATATGGCGGAAAGCAGTCCCCCCCGCACGCTTGAATTACCATCCCCTCTCGCCTAAACTAGGACTTTAGGGCGGTATTCATAGTCCGTTCTTATATTCAAGATCGTCTTAAGCACAAACTTATATTCGCTCTCTTTGTCAGACACAATCTATGTGTGACGAAGAGAGCGAATATAAGTCCGTGCTTAAGACAACCTTAAATATAAGAACGGACTATGAATACCGGCCTTAGACTCGGTCCCTCTATTCCTTAGTCCGTGGTACACACGTACGCGCCGCGAGATTCTGACGCGTCTTCTCAGACACTTGTTCTTATAGGCTTGACTCGTGGACAAACGACAATCGCACAGTACTAAGAATTATTGGCCGCTTATGGTCTCGCGAGTGCCTCATTGGTTGCTAGGATCACGCAATCGAGACATGCAGGATCTTGTTTTCGAGCAACAGAAAAATTCATGCCCGATAGGCTTTTCTGGAATCTAGTGTTTTCTACTATAGTATAAAATATATTTCAATTTTAAATAGAAATTATTTTATACAAATATATAATTAATGTATGTATATCTTTTATCTGCTGTAAACTTATTTTTTATTAATTAATTAAAAACGAGCATTTCCTTAAAATTAGCTTTTAATACGTACTTCCATTGCTCGTGGAAATTTGTGATCGATTATATAAACTTTTTACAAAAGAATAAAAAGACCATTACAAAAGCTAAACTATTTTCAAGCCATTGTAGTCGAGGGATTTCCGAAGTTCGGAAGAGATGGTATAAAACAATCTTAAAGCTCGAAATTTCTTTGCTAACTCTTTCAAAATGTCCTTAGTTTTGGTGTCATTTATAACTATCTATCATTATGTACTGTAAACTCTTTCAAGTGAAAAATGCGCATTTAAATTGTTACTCACGCTTGATTTGTACATTTATATATTTTTATTTTATTAAAATTCGAATAATAATAATGTATTTCTATCCTCATATGTATCATTGAACATTTTTAAATTTTGTTTATTCACTAATTTATTGTTTAACAAACCTCTTGACAAATATATCTGTTTTCAGACTAAAGAAAATAATAGTATAAATGTCGTTTTCATCAATAATTCAATGATACAAAATTAATTAAATAGAATCGAGAGAAATTCCACTTAAAATTCAATCTATGTATACTTTTCCAGCTTACGTATTTGTTAGGAACATTAAACATTGACGATTATTGCATCAAATTTTTATGGAACACTGTTCGATATTAATTTTAAATCGATTTGTCTTTAAGAAACATTTTTTTGGTATATACAAATAATAATTTAATTAGAAGAAAAAATAAAGTTTTCTTTATAACTACTTTTTTTAGAATGACAAATAATTGTATAATAGATATCATTTTAATATTATCAAAGATATACGTATTGTTGTATGCGCATTTTAACGATTTGATTTTCTTTTATCAACTGTAGCCAACGTGATGTTACATAAACTTTTATTTAAAAGAGCCAAAATTATATCAGCCAGTTTAAACGCGCTTGCAGACAATCTATTTAATTCCACTATCAAAACGAGTCGCATTCCAAGCGTTAGTGTAATTTCTGCCTGTACTTTATTCGAAGCACGTAAAGCCAGTAAAATCACCCTACTTTTTTTTGATTTCCGAACTTTTCCGATAATCATCACGGTTTTCTGCGAGAGAATAAGCGAAAGCGATGCACACGTTTGAACATTAATGTTTTCCATCGTCGGAATTTAACGAAGAACGTGGAAAATCATAATGCAGTTTTACAAGGCACTGTCGGAATTTAACGAAGAACGTGGAAAATCGTGACGCAGGTCTATAAAGCCCTAATTGGGTTTATTAGACACGTAGTCAATTTAGCAAAATTCTGAAATCTAAAACGTTCTAGAATATATTTTTATTTGTTACTTAATTTATTTTTATTTTATTTTTATTCATAATAATTGTATTTTTCTACGTAAAACGATATTTACAATCGGCTCTGTAATTAAAATTATCTTATCGCAAAAATTTTGATAAACTGACAAAAGAGCACATACGAGCAAATATTCAGAAAAATATTTTATTTGAAAAGGAGTTTCTCCAAGTATAACATTTTTGGACCGATAGTATGATTTTTGTATGAGCAAAGAAAGAAATGTTTACCTGTCTATTGAAATAGCCACGAGGTTGAATATAGAGCTGGTACTGCAAGTCACATCCATCGCGATATAAAAGTCACAAACAAACCCAGGTAAACTCCAGGATCCGTTCACCTGCAAGGATAAATTAATCAAATTAATTTCAAAATGGCGCTATCAAATTTTAGTTGATTTTACATTCATATTGTAGTATCACGCAAAATTGTATTTGTGTGTGTAATATCACGTACAGAGTTATTAGATTCAATTTGTGTAAAACACATCTTTATATAATTAAAACAAATTTTATTGATAATATTAAATATCTACATTACATATAATACTAAATCATTTTTCACTGAATTACTTTACATAATGAAAAATATATATCATGAAGATTAATTATTATTACATTATGTATTGATAAATTTTTTTGGTTATTAATCAACACTGTGGTATTTCGGTGTTAATTTACTTTTCAAATTTATAATATTAATAGTAAATATAAGAGGTAGCAAAATAAATAAACCACTCTATATCGGTCACGGTTTAATATCATGTGAATGATATTTAACTCTTTTTACATCCGGTGGTATTATGAAAGTTAAATGTAATTCAAATACGGGGGAGAGGGTTTACGGCTAATTCGGTGCATTCATGTTTCTCAAAAGCGTTCTCGTCCTATTCATCTTTTCTCGTAGATGAAAATAATCTCGTCTAAAAATCACGTGTGCTCATGTGCACGAAACGATCGTATGTCGCACGCGATTTTGCACATCACTGGACAAGCATTGTGCGCGAGCTGCCAGCGAATTCAAACGAGGACCAGATGCATTTTTCAAGCGGACGGTCCGCCGCATTTCGATTACATCATGCGTTGGCGCAATATGTATGCTGCGTTCTGTCTCTCTCTCTCTCTCTGTCTCTTTCTCTCTCTCTCTCTCTCTCTCTCTCTCTCTCTCTCTCTTCTCTCTCTCTCTCTCTCTCTCTCTCTCTCTCTCTCTTTCTCTCTCACTCACTCTTGTTGCGGTCTACATTATGACGCCGATTATTTATTTCGATTTTGCTGCGCGCCGCGCTTCACGAAATATATCTCGTCTGATAAGATTGGTTCAATATTTCCGCATGAAGTCTTCTCATGTTGATTGCATGCTCGCGAGTGGGTCTGCATGACGGCAATAAGAGCAAATCTACTTCCGAATTGCTAAGTGGAACAAAATTCATATTTATTCATGTAAACATAATATTCGATTTTTTGATAAGAAAGTAGATCGCACTGATTGCAAGTCGAGCAATTTTAACTCATGATATATAAATGCGTGTATTTTCTTTTTTAAGAATAATTCTATTTTAAAATAATTTACACAATCAAAGCTTTATACGCGTTTTTTTTTCATCATAATTATTTTGAACAAAAAAATATGTCATTTAGAAATGAAATAAAATAACAAGAATTAAAGTAAAACACCAATAAGAAATAAATAAATAAAAATAAAATAAAATGATAACTTCATGACGTAAGAAACGAATATTTGTCATATTTATTGAAAGAGCGAATCCCGTTGAAGATAAAAATTACTCAAATATTCCAGTTTGTGAATCAAAACGAACATTTACTCGATGGATCGTCGAGCTCCATCCTTCCCTTCCGACATTCCATACTTTCTCTTCCATTTCCAAGCAGTCTTGATTTATTTGTAACATTCGTGCCTCGTGTACAAAATAGCCTGCGGTCGAAATTTGTTTGAAACACTCACTCACATATCTGTCTCCATGTTCATCCCAGTAGAGCTGTTTCTACTCGTAGACGCTTGCGCGAATAGGTACGACAGATAATAGGAAATTCCTAGCGAGATGTGATTATTCGACCGGTTTCCATACATTATATATTAACCTTTAGCTCGGCTGCGTATTTTATTGAATTTTCTGACGTACATTATTCACAAGAAAATGTTTCATTAATGACAGTTTTGCATTCAAAGGCCACAAATTTAGTTTAGAGAGATCGTACGAAAGAGAGATCGTACGTTTATCTCTCCATATGTGAATTCTCTCGGCCCATCATTTCTTTGACAAGATCGCTGCTCGGGTGCGTCGGGAATTCGTATCACCCTTCCTTAGTCCCTCGTGCTACGCTATAGCACGTACGAGAATCGACGAGTTTGTACGAAAGGCACGTGCGGAGAAAATTATATCTTCGCAATCTCGAACTTAATACTCTGCTTGCAAAAAAAAACCCCAAAAAGATGATTGCACGGATTTCGGTTTGTTTTCTGCGAGCTAAGCAATATTTAAGCGACTAAAAAGATCTCCCAGAGAAGATCTTCCTTTTCTTTGTTCAATTATTTCTGTATTGCTAGACACGTGTTGAAAGAATTTTTTACAACAGTCAATTGTACAGTATTTTGAGTTACACATTTTCCTTCGCTTTGCAGTTTGCAATTATACTGAGAGAATAAACTTAGTGGCTACTACGTGATCTAATGTATCCGCAAAAGGTTGCATAAACGCAAGCATAAGAGATGAAAACCCGAGCTTAAAGCGAGAAACAGAGGAATTTAATTCAGACCGTTTAAATATGTGCAATCTGTACCGCGCGATGTCATCTCTTGTATTCTTTCTCGGATAAAAGGGGTGGAAAAATGGGTATGAGCGCGCGTTACGCTTCCGTGGCGTACACGGAGCGGGAAATTCTCACTTCTGTAACTCTTGGTTATATATGCGACGCGGGTAAACATACACGCGCGCGCACACGGAATAATATTCCGTGGTGCGGCGCGTACACCGGAGACGCGCGGTGTGTGCATTAGCATAGGCTTTAATATGTATTCCCGTGTGTCATAATACACGCATGAATCGCAGTTATTGCATATTTCGCTACAACTACATATTAGCCCTATTTTCGTCAGTTTTCCGAATAACTTGGGTTATCTACTTGTCTCGTATTTTACGACGCCGCGCAAACTTGATCTTTCTCGAGCATCTGGCCGTGGGCGTTTGTTATTTCTCGCATTAAACAAAGCGAGTGTTTCGTCACGATATATTTAACGCGATCCGAAGTGTCATTGCGTTAGAAGTTATTAGCGACTCGTGTCGGGTTATTTTGCGTTAAAAAAACTAGCGTGAACTAAATTTCCAATAAAGTCCGCGGCGTACGACGAAGTAATTATTATCGCCCTTCGCCGTAACTTTGCTTGTTACACGCCCTATCGGAGCTTTACGCCGGTTTACGGCGGCGTTCACGGATAAAAGCGTACAAGCGCGCGCGCGAGCGCGTTCCATCTGAGATCACGGCGAGAGTTCCTGCGTGTTTTTAGCGAATGTGGCTCCCTGCGTTCGATTACGATCGGGCCCATAATTAGGTTCTAACAGACTTACACGATAAGCATTGCGGTGTTTATGAGCGAATGAGGCCCGTGTTTATGTGCGCGTCGGAGTTCTAATGACGAAAGGGCCGACCGCATGCGATGCCGTGCTAGGGATAACATGCGAGCCCAACAAAATTTGTTCCTTCGTATCGCGTTATGCCATTTAATATGATGAATTATTTAATCACTTACATATTTCAAACAAGTGCGCGAGCCGGTTCTACATTAACTCGAGACCGTTTACCCGTTTACCTGGTTAATATATTATAAATCCGGATCGTTTAATCAACTACATTTATAATCACAAATATTTAATAGCGTTAAAGTAATTTAATAATCTCAATAGTAATAATTATTTATGCAACATTAATTTTACAGTAAAGTAGTAGCTATAAAAGTGAATCATTTAATTTTGCTCAATGATGCAGCTTTTATATCGATATGTTTATCTTGGTTTGGATGAATGTGTTATTTGAAATTCGTTACTTTAATGTATTACGTGGATTGTTTTCTCTTTTCTCCAATATGTCGTCAAAGATCATCACATTCATTTCCGGTAATAGCAAATTAAATAAAACTGTGGGATTGCGAAGAAACGGTTGTTCGTTGTACACAACAGATGAGTAACATTTTCCCCGATAACGAAAAATAGGAAAGACGTTTCTTCTCCGATCATCTTTCGAAGAAAGATTCGTTTTCGCGACATATCTTTCGCGTTGAAATATCTTTCTATTCCCAGAATGCAGTCATATATGGAAGATGGCAATAATAGTACCCCATGGGACATTTCACATTTTTCATTACCACATTTGTGATCGAAGCGAGTTTTACTCGACTTTGTCGTCTATGTGGAATATAACTTGTATCCCTAGTGGTATCATTAAATCTTATAATAACGGGTCCCCGGGTACAGGAAAAAAATATAGTGAGATATAAAAACCGAAAATCGAGTTGATATTGCAAGATTATGTCTCTTTGAGAGGGGAATATAGTAAGATTTTTTAAAATATACAGTAGTAGTAGTTTTAATATACATATATGTATAGTAAAAGTAAAAGGGAAATTATATTAATATCATATATATATGTCACATTCTGATTTTCTGACTCAATCGATTTGGGAATAAAAAATGTTTCTTTATTTTTTTACATTTCCAAATAAATTAACAGATATATATATGATATTTGTGTAATATGTTTTGCATAAAATTAAACTTATGTCAGCTTTTCGTTCTTAAAGAGAAAATTTTATTATTAATTGATTATTATTCTATGAATTAAAACACAAATATATGCATTTGTATGATTATTTTAGATTTAGATAAACCGAGTAACCAAATCCGCATATGCGGAGTTGGTTACTAATTGTCAGTTTTAACTTTTGGATTATTTGCGAAATAAATGTGCGGCACTGGGCTCTTAAAAATGCTAACTTAAGCGAAAGCGTTCTTTAAAGAATTGCGGAAATTTCGCCAACGACGTGCTGAATTTTGCGCACAACGTTAGTAATAAAAGGAAAAAAAAATATTGCAAATTTAGCGTAGTTCTTTGCGTCGGCTAAAAGAGCTTCTCAACCGCCTTGAATTTTGTTTCATCAAGCTCGCAAAATTTAATTTTTTTTTTTTTGTTACATGTTGATGAAAGTATTTGCGGCTTCGTCAGCATGAAGTTTCGCCAGTTTATAACTTTGTCCGTCGTTGCCACCGCTGTCGCCACGTTTACCAGCACTTGAAATGCGAGTCTCTCTTTGTACAGTCCCTTTTGTCGA